GAGTAGTACAAAGCTTTTTTAAAACAGAATGGAAAACACTGTTAGTCTTGCAGTCTCCAATGGATGTTTTATGGTAATGGCTGCTCTTTCATGTATTCACTTCTCCTGACTCCTGTGCTCTCCCTCTCCTTTGTCAGGGCTCCTGGAAGTATTCCTAGGCATCAGCAGCAAGGAGCAGTGAGCTGCTACTCTGTCCTTCACCAGACCTGAAGCCTCACATATCAGTGCAGAAACACATCTCAGGTTCTGTAATGCTCAGTGCAAGTTTTTCCCTGTGGTTAAGTAATGTCATGTTTTTATAGATATGAGCTAAAAATCCCCCAAAACTGTAGCACCAAGACTACCCATTAGTTAATGCAAGGCTTGGCTATTACTGAGAATAGGCAGGAAATTATTCCTGAAGGTGAGATTAGAATTCAGGGAGCTCTTGCTCCAGGCTTTTCTATGCTCTGCACTATCAGGTATGGATTTCTTTATTGCATGGAGACAGAGAAGATCATTCTCATACCTCTTTTGCCCTCCTTAGCTGTCCCAAGCATGCTGGCTTTTCCCCCTCAAGAAAATAACCTAGTTTCACTGGTTTAACCTGATGTGTTTACTTTACAACAGATCAGGAGCACATACCTACACCCACTCACCACATTCCACCTCAGGGTAACAAATAACTTCTTATGAGAAGTCAGCTTGGTCACCTATGGTTTTGCACTTTGTTTTGTGACATTACTCTTCCTGTCTAAAATTGTGCAGTCCAGTAAAACAACAACACAAAAAAATAAATTATAATTGTCAATGATTCAGGCTTGAGAGCAGGGACAAGGAAGGGAGAGAGATTTTAGCATTTTTAAATGCTAAAATGAGAATAGAGGAAAAAAGAGAGGCCTCACATTAAGGGAATCCCCAGCATGGAAGATGCAATTTTTCATGCCCTAAGCTCTGAAGCTTAGGACAAAACACACAGAGCAGCTCAGAGCACACAGTGGCACTCAGAAGCAAGTGTTCATATGCTCAAAATGAATGTGTGTGCTCCAGGATTTCTATGGTTTTGCTAAGCACACGCACAGACATACAAAAATCAACTTGCTTTTACAATAATATAATCAGTCACATGTGCAAAAACTGTTCCTAAATATTTCTTGCGAAGGGCTCTTTAAAACCTCTGCACAGGGATCATATTTGACTGAAAAGGCGAGTTGAAGACCATGGGTGCATTCTTTCTCACTTGGTGAATGTTGGTAAAAAACATCTCTTTCACAACTGTATAGCCTCTAACAGTTCAAGGATGGTTAGCCACAAACACTGTAAAAATAATCTGGTCTTGAAATAGCAACCTTTCTCTTTTTTTTTCCCCCATGTCCTCCCCTACTGGTACATACCAGACTTGCTTCTCAGCTGATGCATATCACCATACCTGTACCAATATCAAACATGTACCAATTTAACCCATCTGAGGATCTGACCCCTCTCAGCTGTCCCAGATCTGTGGTCTCTGCAGAAAGCAATATTATTTTATGCAGACACAGAGGTAGGCGTCCTGCCCCCACTAGTTCATATTTAACTCTCTTTTCATCTTGTTTATTTTGCTTTCATGGTATCAAAGCAAGCTGCACACCCAGCAACAAGCTTGCAGCAAATAGGTGCATATTATTTTTAGCAGATTGCCCTTCACAGGGCACACGCTACACTCCCAAGGGATTTATGAAGAGGGTCAGGTCAAAGTCTTTATAATTTGAATTTTTATTTGTGTGTTAGAAGAATTTTGCTTGTCTTTTCCAGTACAGTTGGAACACACACAGGGATTCAAAAGTAGTATGGGAAGATGCAGTGTGTGGTGACAAGTAATCACCATTCAGTATTTTGTGTCCCTGCTTCCCCAGAGATGAAAAGTTCTGCATGCCCTTTCCCTACACCCTAAAGACCCAGATAGAGGTGAGAGAGCAATGTCCTGTCCTCTACAATAACTGAGGCCAAGGACTTCTCCTTCCTGCCAGACTCTAAAATGGGACAGGTGCCTCTTCTCACTCTGAGGCAAAGAGACACCATGAAGCCTCAGCACTGAGCTGCCAGTCAAGAAAAGACCTAAAATGTCCTTTAGCAAGCAGATGAGGATGGTCCTGGAGGTAAAAAGATGACAACCCATGACTCACTCAGACACTGTTTTCTGAGGACACCTGCCTGGAAGTGCCATCTCCACAGGCTGTGCGGAAGAGATTGGCAGTGAGACCTCCCAAGACAGCTCTGAAACAAACTTGGCTGGACACAACAGAGCAGGATAACATGGTCCTGTTTCCTCTGGGTATCAGACTCCCAGCACTGGGACTAGACACTTGCAGCACCTAGCTTGGTGTTTCTGCACCACACTGCAGCAGTCTGCACCACGCCTGCCCAGGGATCTCTAACACAGCATTCTCAGCTTTCTCCACCTCCTTTATGCTCTCCCAACGTGCCCACTGTGCAAGACAGACAAATGAAAATCTCAGCAAAGGCAGGGTTGTCCTCAAGTACAACACCCTGAGCCACCAAAATATTGCTGTATGCCCAGATGGCCCAACCTTGCTCCATTACTGGCCATTACAAGGTCATCGTGCTTTGTGTTTTTGACTGGTGTGCCAAAAAGCTGGAGCTGTGCCTGTCATTTATAGCACCTTTTCTCAGACGGCTCTCACACGTCTTTATAAACTTTGGTAAATGAGTATATAAATCACTCTGTCCACCACCAAAGTACAATCATCTCTGGGATGATACACAGCAGCTGCTGTAAAATCAGACTGCAGCTCCACTCCACAGATTAGGGCAATAAAACATGCTGCATCAGCCAACTGAAATGGACGGAGGACAGAAGGGGGACGAGGTAGAGGACATTTTGTAGTTATAATTACCTGAGTATAAATTTGGCTGAAGAGGGTACTGTGTTGAATACTTGCATATCTGCAAATCAAAACAGTCTTCCACTACATGTCAAAACAATCTGACTGTACCATTCCCCATGTTTTGGCCTTCTAAAGCCCTTCCTTTGTGAAAATTGCAGAGCACCTTGATCAGAGCAAAGCTGATGTGCTGAGTACAAGCAATAACCTAATCAAATTTCTTAGCAACTGATTTGATAACTAACTGAGCCTGTAGCTTCTGCGTCCCTCCCTTCCTCTCTCTTGCATGACAACTGAACACAGCATCTATATATACCCAGTTCTAAAATAGCTCTGCTCCCATAACTCACAAACCGTTCACATAGATCTTATTTTCTAGGCTAAAAGTAGTTAATTGCAGTCACTGAGGGGACTGAACTGCTGCACCCTTTCCCTTATTCTGGGATGGGCTCCTTGAGCAGTGTATTGCCCCCTCCTGCCCCCCTGCCAATCGTGAACTGTTTATAAAAGGAAATCTTTTGAAGGATGGGGCTGCACAGATCAGATCTACAAATTTCCTGTTATCAAGGACTGCAGATGAATCATTATCCTTCTCTCCCTCTCTTCTCCTTGGCCATACAGCCATATATGCACCATCTAAAGCTAAACTTGACAATTCAGAAAGTACAGGGAATTTATTTGAAAGGTCCTTCCAATCAATATGTGACATGAGACAGCATGGTTTAGGATGAGGACACCAGTTTGAGTTGAGCCTCATACAGACTTTGTGCAGAGCAGAAATTAATTTGAGTGCAAACTCTCTGCATTGACTAGGGAAACTGCCACAAGTGTCTCTAGCTTCATAACCCCTCCTAGATAGTGCAAAAACTGAAATTATTGACAAAATATTCATAGACAACCAAGAGAGTCAAGATTTAAAAGTTTGAATTGGATTATTATTGAAACATTACTAATATTGATTATGATTGAAACATTACTAATAGTGAATGGCAGCTCAGTCAGACCATACACAAGCCAGGGTCCATTTAGTTCTTCAGCTTGAACCAGAATCACACACACATGTGAACCTCTTGCACTGACTCACACTGCAGGCTCCAAGTACACAGCAAGGGCTCCTTTAACTGGAACTGGACCAGACCAACTCCTAAGGGAAATTTGGTACACAGAGAGCTAGTCTTTAACTACCCCAGAATAAACTCCTGAGGTGCTTAGAGGATGTACCCAACAGTCCCCACTACCACCTGTGCTGGATGATGAGTCTTTGCCTACAGGAGGACACTTCTTGTCCACGGACTTCCTACATGGAACATCCTTAAGGAACCATGCAGATAATGACTGATTGCACTCAGATCTCTACACACTTTCATGGAAATGTTTACTATTTCACATGTCTATCTACAGAAAGGCGTCATATGAATGATCTCACACACCCATCCTGTAGGATAGCTCTCCCAGCAATTCCCCTTTGGTTTCCTAGGCTGTCAGCTTTCAGGAACTGATGAGGAGATTAACCATATTTTCCTTGGGGCTGAATAGTAGGGGGTTCTGTGTGCAACTCTGCCCCCAGCATTACCCAGTAAACTGCTCATACCCCAGGCCAAGCAGCACCTTCACACCTTGGCAGGCCTTAAGGAAGTCAGCTGAACTCACCAGACATGAGGGCACAATTAGGCCTGCCATGTAGGAATGAAACAAGTAAGTAACTCCAGCTCCCGGAAACAAAAATGCCCTTGGTAAATACAGATAGTGGAGAAGTCATTTGAACACATATAAGAGAATTTGATACCATTATTTTTTTTTAAGCTTACACATATATTCTGCTGCTAGAAGAAAAAAAAATAACAGTTAAAACAAAACTTTGAAATTTAGGATTTGTAAGGACACTATTTATGCTCCTGCAAAGACCAGTAAATAAAACTGACCACAAAAACAGTAGAAGCATTTGTACAAGAAGAAAAATGCAGAAATGTGTTCATTTTAGAGCCTGACAACAGCTGGTTGATTTCAATAATGTAAAATATTTTTTTAAGGTTAAGCATTCACTACGACACAAAGTTTCTAGGCCATCTCTTGTGTTGATACATTTCCATTGCCTTGCTCCCTGCACAAAGCCCGAGAGCAGCACCTCATACTCACATGTTTTGCAGAGAACTCATCGACCTCCCGCAGCACCTTCTCCTGGCACTCCGGGTTGGTGGCCAGCAAGTAGGTGGCAAAGGACAGCGTGCTCGTGGTGGTCTCATAGCCAGCAATCAGGAACAGGAAAGCTTGGCCTGCTATCTCATCCTCTGTCAGCATCTTCTGAGCCTTTTCAGATGGGGCTGTGCCAGCCAGAGGCGCCTCATCCTGTCTGGGAGCAGCAGATGGGCTGAGCACACCCGAGCACCCAGCTGCCGTGGCTAAGTCGCAGGCATCAAGCATCCACTGGAGAAAATCTCTGCGCCTCTGCAGAACAAGGAAAATGAGGGATGGGTCACAGAGCAATGCCTTCCATGGGGGATGGAAGCAGAGAGCTACTTCCTATTTATAGTGCATGCTTGGCTCCTACAGAATGGCCACCAGCCTTTCAGCGAACAAGGAGGCTTCTGTAAATCAGCTGGAAATGCCGTAACTAACAGCCTGTCATTGCTTTCTTCCCAGTGAGATGAGACTGATCTGCCCCCAATTCACAAGAGGTATGTTATGTACCCTCCACAGAGCATTGCTAATGGCCAACTCTTTTATATTTAGGCTGAGATCTTGGCACTTGCTGGGAATCAGGGGACTGACATAGACACGGTACATGCAGGCTCCATGTGCACCTCCAGATGGAGGCAGCACAAACCGTGCTTGGAGGAGCTGGTCCATCTGCTTGGATGCACCACCTTCACTTGTTGGTATGGTCCAAAGCTCGGAACTCACCATCTAAGTTCAGGGTTGCATCTACATTACTTTCTATGCTAGCTTAGTGTGACAGGGCTGAAATCTAATCTCAGTAAATCAAGACATCTTTTTATGAGAAAGTACAGTTATGAACACTTGTAACAAGATAGTCTTTTTTAAACAATTCTTTAAGAACATATTTGCAAAACCATATTAAGACTACAAGCATTCCCCTACCACAAAACCTGTTTGGGCAGTTTGTCTTTGCAAAATGCCCACTGAATGATCCTACTGTTATGAGAACTGTTTCTTTCACACTTATTTCTGACACAGAAGCCCTAATAAACAGACCTATGGCCAAGAGTGAGCTGACTCCCAACCAGTGCAGACAGCAAGCTTGATTAGGCTTTGAAATATAACCCAAAAGGTTTGAATTGACTTTTGCGAGTGGGCATAATAGAATTGTGCTGAACCTAAGCCATAAGGCTGTGTGATTGATTTTCAATTCCTCAAATACCAACAGAATACATGATAGCTCAAGGACTTAGAAGTGACTGCAGTGCAAGAATATGACAACTTGTGCAGTGGGATGGACAAAAGAAGGGACCAAGCTTTTCTTCAAAAGAAAAGAATATGCTGTAAACTGTATTTTTCTGTTAAAAATTAATCATTTGAATGATTTCTTGGATCTGATGTTTGAGAGATAAAGTAGAAAAAAGAAGGGCCAGAGAAAAGGACAGGCAAACAAGATAAGAGTAAGGAAGAAGTAATTAATTATAAATGTCAGACAACTTAATCAGATTATTTATTTTTCACATGACATGGGAAAAGAGAGAGTAAGACAAGAAAACAGGAGAAATACTTAGTGTCCTGTGCTTAGCTCTGCTGCCAACAAACTGTTCTGATCGATCTACGGGCAGAGAGGAATGGTTATTTTGGGGTATGAATAACACAAGGGATTGGCACCGGTCCTCTTTAGCAGCTCCTTCCCTCCATCCCAAAGAACCCTTCCATTATGCCTTCCTTGTACCCAATGAGCATCTTGCACCCTGGTACACCCAAAAATGAATGCTCCAGATAGCAGCCAGTGCATGCTGAAGGACTCTGCACATTCACCAGTCAGACTGAATCACCTCCAAGGCAAGGGAGACGTGCTTTTCCACCAGGTGAAGGCACACAAAAAACCATTACAGACATCGTGCTCTGCAAATGAGCTACAGCTCTGAAAACACTTCCTTGTGCCTAGACTGAGGCACAATTCCCACCAGCATGATAGGATACCTCTGCTCTATTATGTTCCTGTAGATTGGAGGAAGTAAGACTTCATGCAGACTTCAGCTGTGAATAGCTCAAAATCTTGTTTAATTTTTCTGGCAAGGAAAAGTTTGTTCTCATCCTGAGAGTTCATGTATTGCACAACTCAGAGTCCTGTTGTGGTGTGTTGCAATGTCCTGTTTTAAACTTCCGAGTCCCTTCCCAGGTGTGCCTATGCCTCTCTCCCTGCCCCCTCGCCCCCTTGCTGAGTGTGCCCTGTCAATCAGGCTAACATACCAGCAAGGCGTCGTGTGATTCGTCGATTTCAAAGGATGCTTCTCAGGCCTGGGGGTCATTGGCCTGTCT